AAACTGACAGACTTTGAAGCTCAACATCAGAAGTCTAAGCATTCAATTCGAAAGACCACTTAAAAAGAAGGCGTGTGGGGTCATTTTTATTGAAATTCGATAATCGAAGGATAAATGAGAAGTAAAAGGCGATTGAAATTGTTATGTCTGTGTTAAAATATTAAGTAAAGAAAGAGAGTAAGATATAATAAAATAAAAATAATAAAATAAAATATATAATATATTATAAATATATAAAATAAAATATTAAGAAAAGAAATTAGTATTGCTTGTGTTAATAATCTAATTTTATATTTAATGAATTAATAAAGTATTATTATCAACAATTTTTAAATATTAGACAACAGTACCAACTCAAGTCGATTGGTTTTTTTGTAACTAGTTTATTAAACTGTGCAAAGTTTACTATATCGCGTGTGTATACAACAACTGTATGTTACGATTGAGAATTTGTACTGTAATGTGAGTTATGTATAATACTTGTACTAAGAATGTTGTCAGAAGAATAATTTCTAATGGTTTAGTTTACAGATCATGATAATAAAACCCGTGTCAAAATTTGTATGCAATTTTTTCTCTTGATATTGGGAGACAATGCCTATTAAAGTGTGTGGACATAGCCTACCATGACACAGGAGTATACAAGGTGAGTTACAAATTAGTCCCCACGATTCTTCAACCTGTTCCGATGGTCTGACAGAAAAATATTTCCTACCTAAGTTAATATCAGTATTTAACCGACAAAAAATTGCAACTGTTTAAATGTAGAAACAAATTAATTTTCGCCGTTATATTTTTAAATGAAACTATAATTAATTGTAACTGTATAGTATTGTAGGCGACATTGAGACGAATTTAACGACCTGCCACATGACTTTCAGATGATATTGACGGAAAAATTGCCATAAATCGATTGCACGTAGACAATCGGTGGACAGTGTTAAAAATTTTAAAGAACACATAATTCACGCGTGTAGAAATGTACAAAGGAGTTCTTTAATTGAAGCTACGCATAAAACTTTATTAACAATAGAACTTTGCGTTGCAGAAGGTGGAACGCAGTTCGAACATTTAATTTAATTACTAATTAGATGCACATTTTTAATATGAGTGTTTCCAATTTAGTTTAATATAAATTTCTCTTTCGTTTTTATGAGTTAAGATCTGAAATTGAATAAATGAGCATTTTATAATGATTACGTATATTTGTTTATATTTACATGCGAGGCCTTATATCGCCAAATTATTTCAAATATTGCGGCAATCGATTCATGGCAATTTTTCCTTCAATGTCATCTGCAGCAGCTCATTGAATTCGTCTCGACGTCGCCTACAATACTAGAAGAAGCTACTAGTGAAGCTAAGATTACCTTGCTTCATTTAAAAATTTTTTTCTTTTATCGAGAATCAATTTGTTTTTAATTTCAAACTATGCGATTTCTTGGCGGTTGAATGCTAATTAAATTTGATAAGAAATATTTTTTGTTAGGCGATCGGAAGGAGCTGAAAAATCGTGGGGACTAATTTGTGACTCGCCCTGCATATTTTCCGATAAATCATACTTACGAACTCGAAGATTCTTCCTCAGAATCACTTATCTTTGAGAAACCTAATGTTATGAAAACAATTTTTCATGGCTTTTATCGTTTTGTGATCGATGATCTTATTATTGTTGCCGACACGAGATTAACCTAATACCAGAGAATCGTATAGGGAATTAAGTTGTTATAAACATCGGTACGGTACATGGAACACCTTAGCCTTAGTGTATGAAATTTGGCAATTCTTTAAGTGAAATGGGAGAAAGATGGAAGAAAAGGAAAGGTTTTATCTTAAATCTGCTCGTTGAGAACACTGTTCGATATTCTTTCCATAACTGTAACTGTGCTTACAGTTATGTAACACGAGTTCCAGTTATCGTAATTATATCGCGTTGGGTGTTATTTTAATCGGAGAAACGAAACGAATACAATGGTATCAGTTTTAGTGACGAGAAACCAAAAATGAGGAACATTAGGTTTTGAATTTAAAAGGTTGAACTTGCACGAATCCTTCAGTGTTTGCCAAATGCCTCAATCCTCTTTTTCCTTTTCAGTCGCTATCTTTTACAACGTTCGGAAATCTGTCACAAGTCAGATCCGAAATTATGACTGTTATGGCGATTATGACATTTACGTACTGTACACAATCGTCCGGATCGTTGATAGGCGGATCGGGTAGATACGGGAAAGACTTCGAGTAATTTGTCGAGCAGGATTGCCACAGAAAAATTGTCTAGGACGTAGGCAATACTAAAGTTTCAGAACTGGATATCAGTGGAAAGGATCTGATAAGCGGGACGCGCAGTGTCCGCAGCGTAGAACTACATTTCACCGGTCGGATGGCCGCGTCGCGTTAAATCCAGGTTACACGATTGACGTTCGTCGGCTCGTCGGATTTTTTAGCCGTTCATCGATCCGCGCCTGCCGTTCACTGTATGGAATTAACCAGTCGCCGGTTTGCGAGCCGGTTCCCGCGGGCTTCAGAGCCCGAGTCCGAGCTCGAGCCCGAACCCGATCCTGCCCGGCCCGTTATTTCGGTCAAGCTCGAAGCGGACGAGCGCGGAGTCGAGGCGCGAATTTTCATTTTACACGTCCGTTTAATGGCGCCGTTGGCCACCATTAACGCGAGGGCCTAGTTTTCCGAATGATTTTCCGGACTCCTCTTATTTTTCCTCGATTTACGACACGCGCACCGACGCTGCGGACAACAGAGAGGATTTTCCATTAAAGAAATTTGCATGTTAATGGAAACGCGGCCACGGCCTGCGAAACGGAACGCAATTGCCTTCGAGTTCCGATGGAACAATAAAAAGACACCCGGGAATATTAGAAAATAATAGAGGTAGGGGAATGGGGAGGGAGATTTTTGTGTAAGATACGCCACCAGTGTTTCCTCGAACCCAAAACTTAAAAAAAATACGTTAAATTCGAACTACAGTGAATTCTCTCTAATATTTCTTGGAAACAAAAATGGACAATTTGGGAAGAGGAGATACGATTATTCCAGCCTTGCGACTCGTTTTTATAGTGGTTGACAATCGGTAACTATAAAAACGAGCCGCAAAACTCGAACAATCGTATCTCCTCTTCTTAAATTGTCTATTTTTATATATTAGGCCTACCGCGCGGAAAGTTTCGTCGGTTTTTGAATTGAAATATAACACAATTTTCATACATTTAATAATATTTATTGTAGAATATACTTTCCATCGTTACTTATGACTTCTTGCCAGCGTGATGGCAACTTGTAAATGCCATTTTTAAGAAATGATTTATTTTTTTTCATCAGCTTCAGTTTTGAATTTTTGTTCCTGTAAAAAGTTTTGCAGAGAAAGAAACAAGTGATAATCGGAGGATGCTCGGTCTGGGGAGTATGGTGGATGCGACAGAATTTCCCAGCCTAGCCCTGCGATTTTCTGACGAGTCGCCAAAGCAGCATGTGGTCTGGCATTATCATCGGTAGCCATGTTTTCACGATCGCGTCTCACTTAATAATGACATGAGACATCTTTGTTTCAGTTTATTTAGGAGAGTACATGTGTGTAAATACAATGATAAAGAGAGATAGTCATATATGTCTCAAATCAACTTGTGCATATGGAATGAAACTTGACAGAACTTTCCGGTAGACCTAATATATTCCTGTTTAGGAATATATTATTAGGATGTTCGAAACAGACGCAAACGTTTCAACGTTGATACTAATCGACGTAATGCTAAAACGAAACTTGCCAGTAAAATTTACGGAGAAAGAAAACACTACAGGATATTATAACTTCGCAGAATGTCAATCTCTTAATGGTCATGCTCGTGTATGGCACAGGCACACTAAATTATTAAACCATATTATATAGTTGGTAGTATATGGTTTGAAACCGTACAAACATGATTAAATTCGTTTAAATTCACTATCGGACAGAACTTTCCAGTATACCTAATATAAGCTGAGCGACAATTGGAGAGAATTTACTGTATTTTCCTTTTGCGAGAAATTCTCAATGAATTAGTTATGGTCGTACGCATTTTCAAATTTAATGCTCAACACTCACACTTGCTGTATGCAGGGTGATTGACCGAATTCAGCATTTAAGTTATTTCATGACTATGAAAGCTACGAAAAAATGATAAAGTGGATTTGAAAATGAGAGTTAGATGTACGACTTAAATGACTGACCCTGTATAAAGAGCACTATGGATTACGAAAGAAAATCTTAATGAGCATTGTTATATTATGCTATTATTATACTATTTATGCTGAAAAATAGTGAACATTGACAATAATGGAAACATTCCGTTTACTACATAATTCGCAACAATTAATATTTATAAACGATCTTAGAAGGAGGCAACTGCGGTAGAAGAATAGATGAACGAATTTTAAAGTCGATTTTCTCGAAAATGGAGCCCCGAATAAAAAGATATTATACCAAATTTTTTTCTCACCTTTTCACGTAGAATCACCCCTTGCTCAGTTATAGTACGAATTCTGGCCCACCTTGTATATTCTATTTATTTCAGTTCTTAAGCCCAGAAATAGACTTCGTTTACAACATATTCCTACAAATCCACATCCTCCATACTTTAATTTACAATCGATTACAATTCTTTACATCCATCCGTCAGGATACTATCACCCCTCTCTCTTTCCTCTCCATTCATTTCTCCACTTTCCTTAACCATTCGACAACCCCTGCAGAAACCCTCCCTTCTACAATCTGTTTCTCTTTATACTCGCACATCTCCATTCGCTCGCACTCTTCCAATAAATGCTTTAACGTTCCGCATTCTGTCTCGCGCGTAGCCTACATTTCCCATCTTCCTTATTCGGTAGGTTTAGTATTATATGACAGATACCCATGATAGAAGCTAAATAACGGCGTGATAGAAAGCTGAAACTATTGTTCGTATATGCTGGTGTATGTGCGTGGAATGGGATCAAGAATACGGTTATGTTTTCAGATGATAAATACCATATGCTGCCAACCGGGGAGCTGCTGGTGTTCTCGGTGACTTCGTCCGACGACCGTTCCAGTTATCGATGCCGGACCGTCCACCATGTCACAGGCGACACCGTGGAAAGTTCTTCGTTTGCCAGACTCATGGTGACCGGTAAGTTTCGGATATCAAACACCTGCCGTTATCCCGTGGAATCCGTTCGTCCAGCGCCTGTCGAACTTTCCGCTGACTGAATATTTAATGCCCGCAAATGTACGCGGAATTTCGCCCGACTGCCGCGCGGCAGGAAGTTAAGGTCTGCTTGCCAGGATCCATGGATCACCGGTTATGCAAATATATCGGGATCATTTTATTGACTTACAAGGGATGGCAACCGACCGTCCGATTTCAAGGAAACTAACAAACGCTGCATCACTTTCGAAAATAGTTGAGCAAAATTAAAAGAGAATTAAATGTATAAAAAGGTATTTCTTCAAAGTTATTTACCGCTGAGCAAAGCTTTGAGATTTGACGAATCGTTTTTACTTCTATAGAAATATGACTGTTAACATTTATTAAAACTATAATTATCAAGGATTCGGTGAAAAAAGCAGGAATTATTTAGACTACTATTTTAATGAAAAAATTATATATAATGTATATGTATTCGAACATCCTTTAAAATGTTATAACTTTTTAAAAACTGAACTAAATGACTTGTTAAAGCGATTAGTTTACTGCGCAATGACTAAAATACATTTTTTAATAATTTTGCTGTTACTTGGATTAAGAAAAAGAATTAAAAACGCATCTTTCAACTCTTTTATCTGAGCCTGTACGAAAATTTCAAAAATGCATATTGTAGAGCAATGGAGCCAGTTACTGCAAGGTGACTTAATCGTTGTGCCTTTGGTTTATTTCCGGAAATAATTAACTTTATATACATCGAAGAAGACATATTAGTTTGTTTTATTCAAAAACAAACAAAACAAAAGAATTTTTGTATCCGCTGCACTTACGGTGCTGGACAAAAGTATAATGCACTCAACATATTTTGTAATTGTTTATATCGAAATGTAAGAAACGTTCACTTTGTGCATTGTACATGTCGAGTGTCTTATTTTTTCATCCAGCACTGTATCAAAATTAACATTTTGTCGGTTTTTATTGTACTCGATACTGCTAGACATTATTTAAAACAGCATCAGAATATAAGATATTCCTTTTGTAGTTTATTCAAACTCCTGAGAACAGATCGATGATTTTAAATACATATCTGATAACAAGAATACGTATCTTCAGCTTGTAGTTCTAGAAATATCGTTCCAATTCGCTGAACGAGGTAACGTCGCACGGCAGACAACACAGAAAATCGTGGACGTACGCCAAACTTTAGGTCGAAACCTTCTCAGTACACGATTATAGCGACCGCATCCTCGTTACGCGGATTAATATCAGTAGAACACGCGTACGACGGAAATCCTCAAAATAGAATATGTTGTTACCATTCCGAAATCGGATCTTGCCAGAGGATTAATTGTTTGAATGGCTCCGAAAGGACGAACTTCGCGAATGCTTGCGCGCGAGTATGTTATAGCCGGGATTTGAGCTAGGAAATGGAATAACCCATTTTCAACAGGTCCGGGGTTCTCGTGATTTCATTAAAAACGGATCAACTGGTCTCGATCGTACTCCGGACGAACATAATTCCCAAGTTTTACGCTAATTGGCCGATGCTAAGGAGTTCCACGAAAAATATTCTGTTTACCCGGATGACGTTTTCTCGCGGCACGGCAACGGGTTCATAATTAATCGTGCCGGAGCGATAAACACCTCGATAACAATTCTCGCGGCGACAAGCAGGGGAAAATCGTTGAATGAAGGCGGAATCAGTGGATCCGCAGGGATGAAAGCTATGTCGGTATAAAGGCGATTAAGGTAGTTGTTTCGGTACGTTTGCAGTAGAAAGTTTGTCACATACGGTATGTTCATAGACATACGAGAGGCTATTCGGCAGATAAGGAAAATTTCAGGTACGCCTGTATACGTCGGGCCCCCTCTCTATACAACCATCAATTCGTACACAAACGAATGATTGTTATTGACAATCGGTAACCATAAAAACAAACCGTGAGACACGAATAATCGTATCTTCTCTTCTCAAATTGTCCATTTTTGTGTACAAGCTGAGGGTCAATTAGGGAGCATTTACTGTACTAACAAGAACGAGCAGGGGTTGTCCCCCTTGTCAAACCACTATACAACACAAAGTAAGGAGAAAAAGACTAAAGGTGACGAGTGCCACGTCGCGTCGGGTTATTTTCTGCAATTCCTACTCCTTTCCTTTTTTTTCGCGTTAGCAAAGTGGAGGAAGTTCTGGAGGTTCTTACGACCAGCGAGCCCTTAGTGCATGTGATATATGCAACGTTGCCAAGTGTTGATAACTTCTCAATAACCTCATGGTTTCTATCAGTCTCCATCCTTTGAAAATTCGAAAAAATTGTTTACTTTACATTGCTTTGATTCAATAACTACTGGATTGGCAAGAAAGTAATTTCGGTTTGCATCAATCGATAGCGTTATGTTTGCATTGTTATTCTTTTCTTAAGAGTAAATTTAACGTTTTTGGTAGCGATGGACGTAAAAGTGTTTGGAGGAAAAAGAACACAGAATTAGAACGGCGAAATCTACGGCCGACTATAAAACACAATGGTGGATCTGCATTAGTTTGGGGCTGCATGGCATCTAGTGGAGTGGGAAACCTTGTGTTCATCCATGGGATAATGACCAAAACGAAATACTTAAAAATTTTGTAGGAAAATTTAAAAAGCAGTGTATCAAAATTGAATTTACCTAACGATTATTGGTTTCAGTCTGACAATCATCCGAAGCATACCGCTAAAATAGTCAAAGAATGGGTATTATATAACGTTCCACACGTGGTGCCACATCCACCGCAAAGTCCTGATTTAAACCCCATTGAACATTTATGAGATGAAGTAGAAAGATGACTAAGAAATACGGTTACTACTTCGAAAGAAGTGTAAAAACGAAATATTATTGAAATATGGCAATCAATAGATGCAAATGTTACTTCTAAGTTGGCCCACTCAATGGAAAATAGACTTAGGGCTGTTATAAAAGTAAAAAAGGTGGATCAACCTCCTATTAAAACCTTTAATCGTTTAATTTAAATAACTATTAATTGTTTTGTTCGAATACTTTTGTGAGCCATTTCTGGTACGTGTTTACAATAAATGTACTGTAAAAACGCTATATATTGTTGAATTATCTTCTAATTATGCTTACGCAGTCTTAAGACCCATTCCTTGTTATATGTGTTATATCAAATGCTTCAGTTTAACACATATATTTTATTAATTGAATGTTAGAAACGTAAGCGTTCGAATACTTTCGTGTATGAGTGTACATCTTTAGCAACACGTACCGAATTATTGGAGCTTGGTTGGGAAGTAATGTCGCATTCTCCATACAGCTCCGACCTTGCACCAACGGATTATCATTTATTTCGAAGTTTACAAAACTTTTCAAATGGTAAACATTTCAATAACAACGATAGTCTGAAATCGTACTTGATCGAGTTTTTTACTGATAAGGACCAGAAGTTTTATGAACGCGAAATCATGAAGTTACCAGAAAGATGGAAAAAGTTCATCGAACAGATTGGAAAATATATTTGACTGATTAAAGTTCATTTTTTGTATAGAAAAAATTGAGTTTTATTTCACATTGAAATACCGAAATTACTTTCCTGCCAATCCAATAGATGGTGAACTACACTTTTTCGTGTGTCAATACGTTCTTACGCATGTTTTGTACTATGTATTAGGTTTTTTGCGAACGCCTAAATTATTTCTCGGAGATACAACTAAAACGTCACTTCAGCGAAGCCTCGGTATAGGGATTGCGTGTTAAGGATTGTAACTTTGAAGGCGATTATCACGAATTTGAAACGGTAAAATTCTTGAAAATTTTACCAAAACGTAGACGATACTTATGCTAATATATACTCGCAGAATATCAAGTAATTCTTAAATGAGTCACTTTCGGCTACAATGACCTAAAAGTTGCCAGTCGCTCGGCGGTACGTGGCGTTCGTTCGTGGCGGACATTTCTCCGGGCTATCCCAAGGAACGTTTCGCGCGTCTACTCAAACAGCGGCGTTTATATAGCGATCTCACGCATACCTTTTGCATAGTAAATCATAATGCATTGTTGCGCATTCCCCGGCACCGGACGAACGAGCCGGGCCGAGCCGGGCCGAGTCGGACCGCGCCGACAGGGCGAGCGGCATGCTCACGAGAGCGCTGCCTTCTTCATGAATAAATCATGAGTGGCCGAAATGCTAATGGCCAAAACGTCCGCGTACTCCTGGCGCGGCCACCGGTGTTTCCGCGCCGACCAAGTGCTACGAGTCGTAAACAAAATGTACCGACGTCGTTCAAAATGCGAGCTGATTCGAATGGCCGGTTGCTTTCACGCGTTGCTTCACGCCTATTGTCGTAAATAGGTTATAACTTAATTAGAGGTGCCGTGACCACTATACTCGGTCACACTGTCGCTGGGGCAAGCGTGTCGAACGTGCTCTGCCTCTATTATATACCCTGGTGCTCTATATTCGATGCTTTGTTCTCGCGTTTTGATGAACTTTTCGCACATCGAACTTTGCTGTCTTTTCTCGCTTTCCTATTGAATTGTTATTTTTGTTCCGAGGGTACGAGGTCGATTAACTCCTTGCTAGCCTTGCAAATTTGACGAAATAGGTTGAAAAAACGCTTATCTGGTTTTTCTCACAAATTGGTTGCATACGCTATTCTCAGAAACCTGGATAAAAATATTTGGAGAAGTATTCGAAATAGTTAATGAAATTCTCTTATTCGAATGAAATAATGATTCAAGATTTATTCGTCGACATAGAGATAAGATCATGTAGGATTGAAAATAATTATTTATGTTGTGGAAAAGAAAATTATTAATTGAAACACTATTTTCTTAACATGCACTGGAAATAATTGTTTGAAATAGTATTTCGTGTGTTTATATTTCTATTAATTTCTGGGATTCTATTTCTTATTATTAATATTTAAAGAGGAAAGTTTATTGAAGAAGGTATAACGTTGGGCTTCAATAGACAATAGAACATTTCTGGTCTT